TTTTTCAGAACTGGGGATTGAACTCAGATCCTTGAGTTTGCCAGTCAAGCGCTTATCCTACTGAGCCATCTCCCCAGCCCCTATATATTTATAATTAAGAGTAAGCTGGCATCACAAAAATTCAAACAAAAAGGAACCAAAAAAAAAAACCATATCTTTTTTTATCTTTTTTTATTTACTTCTTTCAAATTAATACTTTCCTTTGAAAATCATTGAAGAAAACAATTGAAAAATGTCTCAAACAAGGCAAGACCAGGGGTGGGGTGTGGGCTAGTCTCTGAGCACTTGCCTAACGTGTCAGGCCGGGGGTTTAGTGCCCCACGTCACAAACAAACAAAAGCAAAAGATCTATAAGTTTCCACCTCTGTTAAAAGCAACAGTCTCCAACACGGTCTGTTCAAGTTCTAGGGTAGCCAAGGAAAATGATTTGCTATGTCTTCTGCCTGCTTGTTATTGTGGTTGTTGTTGTTTGTTTTTGTACTAGGGATTGAACTAATGTGCCAGGCCAGGCTGGAATTTGCAATCCTCTTACCTCATGTCCCAGGTTAGAAGTGTGTGGGCTGACAGGTGTAGGCCACCAGGCCTCACTTCACTACTATGTTTTAAAAAGGTAATCTATATAAATAGAACTCTACAGGTACAGCTTTAGAAGTGGACTCAGAGAGCCAATGAGATAGCCCAGTGGACTAAGCACAGGGACCAGGGTTCGATCCTGGCACCACATGCTGCATCGGCCCTATCCCTGGGCACGCTGAGCTGCCACCGAGACCAGGTGTGGTGGTGCATGCCTGTAATCTCAGAACTGGGGAGGCTGAAAACAGGAAGGTCACTATGAGTCTGAGCTGCATAGTGAGACCCTGTGCCAAATACATTTAAAAAACCCAAACAATGGACTCGGGTTATGCAGACTGGTCTCTGACTCATTTTTCTTTATTTAAGAGTAGATAAGTTAGGTATGGTAGTGCATGACTAATATCCCAGCACTCTCTGAGGCTGAAGGAGGAAGAATGCAAATTTGAGACAAATTTGGGCAATTTAGTAATTTAGTGAGGCCCTGTTTCAAACATTAAAAAAAAGGACTGAGGAAACAGCTCAGTGTGAAGGCCCTAGATACAATCCCCATTCTCACACAGACACAGACACACACACACACACACACACACAAAAGACAAAGAAAAAACAAAAGAGCATAGATCAGTGGCTGGGGGGTTTAATTCTGGGACATACACTCTCCAGCACCAGTGTAAAAAATACATTAGGATTACAGAGCAAGGCCTTGACAGACACACTGATCTCACTTTGTTTATTTTTTGTTGTTTTGTTACAGGGTCTTGCTATGTAGTTCAGGCTGGCCTTGAGCTCAGTGTGTAGCACAGGCTGGCCACAAACTCATGGTGATCCTCCTGCATCAGCCTCTCAAATGCTGGGATTACAGGCATGCACCACATCCAGTTTGATCTTACTTTTAGTTCACTGAGTTTTTTCCTTGAGCATATAGGACCATTGTCCCCATGACCCAATACAGAGGACACCTGGTGGGTCAGGCTACCCTGGTGGGGGAAAAATGGCCTAGGAAGGGCTGCTGGTGACCTGTAGCTTGTATTAGAGCACATAGCACCTCTATGGGAGCTGCGTGTGGCCATCACCTTTGGATCATCTGAAAAATGCCAGTGTCTAGGAGCCATCCTCAGACTTCTGAGTCAGCAGGACTCGGGGAGGCCCTCACCTCTACGTGAAAATGCAAACCCTGCACAAGAGATTTTTCTCAGAGGTCAGTGTTTAGCATCCCTGTTATAAAAGGCTATCTAATCCCACTGCAGATTTGGCTTGGCAAACTCCAACCCACCCTCTCCCCATCCGAGCCGATGGGGCTTCTCAGGTGCACTGACCTTGAGGCCTGAGTTCTTGCGCATGCGCAGCCGACCCATCCACATGTCAGTGAGCAGCATCTGGCTGCAGGTGTGTGCAATGAAGTCTCGGTGCTTGGCTGCCACAGCCAGCTGCAGGCACGTGGCATTGCTCCAGTTCTTCAACTCATATGTCAGCAGCTTCATGGCCAACTGCTCATCCTGCTTATAGGATTGGTCCAAGAGCTCCACGGCCAACTGGCCAAAGTCCCTGAAAAGGAACATACAGAGGAGTCCTTCAGACCACTTCGACACTAATGTGACAAAAGTGGGGTTCCACTGGCTAAGTGTGGAGGAGTGCTTCATGGGAGGGCTAGGCGGCTCCTGACTTCATCCAGCCAACACCCATGTGCATCCACTAACATGTTCAGAACTGAGGATGGAGCCTAGCTAGGCATGCTTTCCTATGCTGCAGGCCCCAAACACAAGGCCTATGGATGCGGAGGTGGACACACTGGTCCCTGGCTGGAGCACATCCTCTTAAATGTATGGACTACTGCAGGTTCAAACCCCAGCCTTACCAAGCACAAAGGTGTGACTTTGGCCAAGTTAGCCAATTTCTCTGAGCCTCACTGTCCTCAGCTGGTAGAAATATGTGACAATACGACTGAGCTCTTAGGGCAGTGGTGAGGATGCTCCCAAATCATCCTGTATCTGTGTGTCCTGCCACAGGCAGTGCTGTGCAGCTCATAGTGAATGATTCAGGCCCATGTTCTGTGTGCATCATGGGGGTGACACTGCCCCTTCTTCTTTGTGGTACCGGGGATCAGAACCAGAGATGCTCTGCCTCTGAGCTGCATCTCCCAGCTCTTCGTATTGTGGGACAGGGTCCTCTTAAATTGGCCAGGTTGGCCTTGAGCTTGTGATCCTCCTGCTTCAGCCCTCCTAGTGGCTAGGATTACAGGCATGTGCCACTGTACCCTGGCTTCCCATGAAGTTCTGTCTCGGTATATGGAACCTGCCCTCCCTTGTCTCCTCCCCTTAACTTTCCCATGTGCTCGGCTGCCGACCTTGAGTTGTGGTTCAGTTCCTGGGAAATGTCATCAACCATGTCGTTCTCAGAGGCCTCATGAGCCATGGCTTTGCAAAGCTTGCAGGCCACCAAGGCCTTGGCCATGGCCTCCTCGCCATGCTGCCAGAAGAACAGCGCCATCTTCTGCCTCTTCATGAGGACGGCCCACACCATCAGCTCGTGGAAGGGGAAAGGAAAATGGTTGATCTCAGGGTCGTCCAAGTCTATGTCCACTTCTTCTTCACGCTTCTTGGTTGTCTTTCTCCCTCGCCTCAAGGGAATATCATCCTGTGGTTTTAGAGACAGACATACAGGGCGAATTGGAAATGCATCAGGTTGATCTGTCACAAAATTCTTCTACATTCTCCATTGGCTCAACTTGGGCTCCCTTCTGAAATGAAGCAGGCCAGCTTCCATCCTAAAAGAACTCAAGCTCATCCCTGGCTACTTTTTAAATAATTTATGGTAAATGCTTAAGTATAGCCCTACAGGCCCATGTCAGTTTACTTCCATTTAAAATGTCTTTTAATGGGCCTTTTGTTTGTTTGTTTGTTTTACTTTTTCCCATTTCTTTTTATGTACTAGAGCTAGGGTTGTTTGTGCCTCATAGGGACAGCGCTACCCTTTTTGCAGAAAGGACAAGAATGTCCTATAGTTGTGTCTCTGTGCATGACAATAGCATTTGGACAAAGACAGAAATATAATCTTTCTTGAGTTTCTGCATTTGTGCAGCAGTTCTGGCCTGTGGCTCTATTGTCATTTGTAAATATCCATGAATAAAGTTTGCTTACTGGAATTTATATACTTCCTTGGTTTTCAAATCAGTATATCAAATAAGATTTATTTATCTTGTTTGCAATGCTAATATAAAACCTCATGGTGGAATTTTCAAAGCTATTGTGAGCTGTCCTTCTGACATTTGGAAAATATTTATCTTAGAATCATGTACTAACTTTTACTTCCCAAATGAGCTCATAGATCTTTCAAATAGGTAATAAAGAGGATAATTGACACTAATAACTTGAGCAAACACTTACCTCCATTCCCAGAAGCTTCAAGGCTTTGGGCTGTTAAAAAAAATGTTATGAACAAAGTTAGAGCTTTCTTTCATGAAGGAAAGAACCCTACTATATCTTGGGCAAGCAGTAGAGGAACTTTTATACTTAATTTATTTCACTGACTAAAATATGACTAGTGGAATTTTTTTTGAGAAATTCTAGGAGAATTAGGAATTTCATGATTTTTGGTGAATCATATCACAGAAAATTAGGAAACTGTAGAGAACTAGACTACATAAGGGTAGTTAGGTAGTCATAGGTCATAGTGTCTTGTGGACTCAGATTTCTCCTACCTTCCCATAACTATCCTGCTTGGCGGACGCCTTCCTGGAATCCAGGATCTGAATGAGCACTGTGATCCGAAAGTTTGCTTCTGTTCAAATTCAGGTGATGCAATCCTAACTCTGCTAGGCATAATGGCATGTGGCTATAATCCCAGCACTGTGGCTACTGAAGCAGGAGGATGACCGACGGTTCTAGGCCAGCCTGGCTTACATAGTTATGTCAAGGCCAGCCTGAAGTACGCGGTGAGGTCCTCTCAAAAACCAAATCAAACCAAACCAAAACAAACAAATTTTTTCTCCCTGAGGTCATGCACCATACTGGATTGGGATGGGTCAAGTGGGAAGAACTCTTCTAAATGAGATTAGTGCCCTCATAAAAGGGGCCATGGCAGGAATCTTGGCATTCAGGAAGCAGAGGCAGGAGGGTCATGAGTTTAAGGCCAACCTAGGCAACTTAGTGAGACTATCCCAAGTCCCCCAAAACAAAACCCCACCCAAACAAAACCCCACCCTAGAAACAAAAAGAAAAAAGGCCTGGGGAGCTCGCTTGACCTTTCTACCTTGTGAGGACAGTCAATGGGTGGGGCCTACGCACCAGGAAACAGGCCTTCACTGGATATTGAATCTGGTGGGGCCTCAGTCCTGGGCTTTCCAGCCTCCAGAATTGTGAAAAATAGATTTTTGTTGCTTAGGAACTATGTAGGGTTTTTTGGGGTCTGTTTCTCTCTCTCTCTCTCTCCCCCTGTTTTTCCCCCTCTCCCTCTCTCTCTCTCTGTCTCTCTCTGAGAGAGGGTCTTACTATGTAGTTCAGGTTGGTCTTGAACTCATGATGTAGCTCAGACTGTCCTCACACTCAAGGTGATCCTCCTGCCTCGGCCTTCCAAATGCTGGGATTATAGGCGTGCCTGGCTCCCTACAGTGTTATGTTATAGCAGCAGGAACAGCTTGAGACAGATGCCCAATGGCACATTCAACCAAACAGATCAAATGAAGTCTTTCTCAAGCTTCCCAACACCCTCCTTTCTGGAGACCAGGGATATTCTTCGCAGATCCTTCCTGCTGGCTATCGCCCTGTGCTGATGGCCCAGAGGCAGTCCCCATGGTGGCCCAAGCTAGTGTCCCTGTCTGTGCAGGGAACATGGGAGATAGGCAGGGTCTGGGGATGACAAGAGAAGGCACCTCAGCACATGACAGAACTGGATTTATACTGAACAAGGTGGGGGGAGGATATCAAGCTGCATTTGAGGGGTGAGAAGGGTGGGCCTGGCTGCTGAGGGTGCCAGACGGTGGGGAGGCACCTTGGGAGTCACTTGAGTGCCCGAAAGGTGACAGAGATACAGTCCTTCTGGATGCTGGTGACCATTCAGGCTGGAGCTTCAGCCTTGCCTCTCTCCCTTTCTCTTTTGGCTTTGAAAATGACCACCAGTCTACAATCTGTGGGTCCTTCCTGCCTCCACCATTTATACTCTTTTGGTGTTTTCAAAACTCTCTACTAGTCCTATAAAGTGTTTTCATAATCACAGGAAAGTTTTATTAAACATAAAAAGCTTACAAGTCAATTTTTAAAAACCTATAAAAAATAAGATAAAAACATTAAAGACAGTAATAAAAATGTAACAGGAAAGAAAGAAAAATCCTGCCCATTTCTAGCTTGAAAAACGATGCTCAAAGTGTTGTCCATGGATTCACTGGAGGGTCCCTGCATTCACGGGGGTGTCTGAGGTGTGTGAGGGCCAAGCTCTGTTCATAGTTATACTGCGATGTTACTGGGTTGTCCTCACCCCCAAATTGGGGCTCCAACCTGCGTGCTCCAGTAAGCTCTATCTCCAGTGTTCTTATTTATTTATTTATTGTATTTTAGGGAAGGGTCTACAGGGTGTTCAGGGTCTCACTACTAGATCGGACTCGTAGTCATACGCCTGTTTATAGCTTCCCAAGAACTGGGATTACAGGCGCGCGCCACCACGCCCAGTCTCAAGTACTGTCTCAGCGAGTTTTGGGGTCAGGACCAGCACAGAAGGCCCGGGGTTCAACCCCCGGGCCCTTGCCCTTGTTTTTGGCTTTTTTATTTGGTTGGGTTTTTTGCCGGGCCTTTTTTTTTTTTTTTATTTTTTTTGTTCCGGGTTTTCCGGTTTTTCCTTTTTTGGTTCGGCCCGTTGTTGTTTTTTTTTTTTTCGGCTTCTTAACGGTTGGCTTTCCGGGGTTGGGCCCGGCCCCCCGTTTTCGTTTGGGGCTTCGGGTTGCCCGGGGGGGGGGGCCGGCCTTGCCGGGGGGGTTGGACCCCGGGCTTCTTTTTTTTTTTTGGGCCTTGTTTTTGTTTTTTACCCCGGGTTGGCTTCGGTTTTGCATTTTTTTTTTGCCTTTGGCTTTGCAGTTGGTTGGGTTTGCGGGTTTTGGGGCTTTTGTTCCCGGCGGGGCTTGCCTGCCTTTTTTCCCCTTGGCCCGGCGGTTGCAAGGGGCCTTTCTTTTTTTCAAGGAATTTTAGGGAAGTTAAGGGCTTGGGAACTGTGTGTCTCAGTGCTGCTCCTCGGGACGGAAGGGAAGCAGCCCTTAGAGCTCCCGTACTGTTGCATGCCAGTCCAACACTTTCCTGACGGCCCAAGCCAGGCTGTCACTTCAGTGCAGAAGTGGAGGTAATCCGGTACGGATTCGATATGGATCCATGCCAATTCCCCTGCATAATTGCTATGCAGCACAAGCATACCAGCCAAAAGAAAGGAAAAATTAAAAGATGAACAGACTGGAAAGAAGAAAGAGGAGGAGCAGTTAGCTCCTCGCCCCCTCCCCCCAGGAGACAGAGAGGCCTCGCCAGTGCCCCCTGCTGCCCCTCCAGCCTCACCCTCTTGGGCCCGAAGAGGTTGTGGTACAGGGTCCGGAAGCGCTTGCGGGTGTAGTTGCAGCGGTAGGCCCCGCCCATCAGGTACTCGATCACCAGGCCGATGTCAATCAGGCTGATTCTGTAGTCTGGCGGCAGGTTCCCCTGACAGGGAGGAAGGAGACAGACAGACAGACCCAAAAGACAACGTGGTTTGCTAGGGATTCTATTGCGTGTGCTCTGTAACTATTTTAGAGTAAAAAATATAATGAAAAAAGAAACATGAATGTATTATTATGCTGGTTAATTAATTCACCTTAAAATAGATCCAACCGAAACCTGGATATTCTCGCTTGGAAAGAAGACATAAGTTAAATAAGCAGATGCAGTAATCGTCGGCAATAACAGAAAATCAAAGTATTTATTCAAGTCTTCAGCTGGGGAGAAAAAAACACCAGTGTAGCAGAAAGAAATACAAGGCGAGACATGGCACAATGGTCTCATCCCCGGCCTCGAGGCTCCCCGAGGTCCCAGCCCCTCCTGACTCCGACCCAGGCCTGTCCCTGCGCTCAGCTCGGGGCTCACTGACCTTCTTTCCCCTTCATTCATGGAAGACTCCGCCTAGAAGATGAGACCCATTACTAAGGCCTGGGCTTGCTTAGAGCTCAGCTCTTCTTTAATTCAAGCCCCTACTGAAACAAATTTTTTATTTTATTTATTTTGTATTTTTAAGGGAAGGGTCTATAGGGTATTCAGGATCTCACTACTAGATCGGACTCATAGTGATTTTCCTGTTTACAGCCTCCCAAGAGCTGGGATTATAGGTGCGCGCCAAGACGCCCAGTTTCAATTGCCTTCTCAGGGTGCCCTGGGGGGTGGGGGGAGGGGGCACAGCAGGCCCGGGGATCGAACCTTCGGCCCCTGCTCCTGCTTGCAGGTGCTTTAATCCGCTGAGCTATTTGGCCAGCCCTTAAATTTTTTTAAAAAAGGCACATTTTTTTTCTAAAGCGAGGTGTATAGGAAAGGGACTTGGGCATCAGGAAGAAATCGTGCATGAGAATCCTCACGGTTAAAGAGAGACAGGGAGGAATAGGAGAAAAAAATTTTATCAATGAAATACTTTCCCAGAATTAAGGAGCTCTTTCTTTCTTTCTTTCTTTCTTTCTTTCTTTCTTTCTTTCTTTCTTTCTTTCTTTCTTTCTTTCTTTCTTTTCCTGCGGGAGTTGGGTCGGTGGGGCATGGCCGGAAGGTATGGCTCCTCTCCTATTCCTCCTTTGGCTCCCTCGGCTTCCTGTCTGCATGTGTGAACAACTCCACACACCACACCCTTTGCAGGAAAAGCTGCCTTGCAGCCAGGAATGTGGGCTGAAACATGAGCTAGAGAAACCTCTCTTCCCTTAGGCTGCTGTGTGGGCTGCTGGCTCTCAGCCATGAGGGACGTGACTAAGACGCGGCCCAGCCTGAGACCCATGTCATTAGCTGAACTGTCCCTCCCCAAGAGGGGTCTCTGCGGTCCTTCCTCCTTTCTCAGAATTTCAAAATCTCTTTTGTTTGAAGATTACCGTATGAAGCTGACTCAGGGAGGAAAGTCATCCTGAGGCCGCAAAGAAAGATCAATGGCTTGACTTTGGCATGGGAAGCTCAGCCAAAAATATTAAAGAAGGAGCCCAGAGAAAGTCCGAGCTGAGCTTGAGAGGTAGCTACTCATGGAATGGCTTTTCTTCATTGTGGCAGGCAGGGCAGCAGGGCCCAGCTTCAGGCTGTGCTGCACACAGGTGCGGCTGTGTGTGGAGGGCAGGCGACAGGGCCTGTCAGGGCCAGTCCCCGCCACACACACTTCCTGTGAGGAAGTGTCAGTTTGCAGCTCACAGCCTCTCAGGCCTTGCTGGCCTTGTCCCTGAGAGACAGGCGCAATTGAAAGCCTGGCCTGTGTCAGCGGAGGGGGCTCCTATTTACAGTGTATGAAGCGGCCTCTTTCTGCAGGGCCTCTTTCTTCCCTTCTACTTTTAATGGAAAAGTTTCCTAAATTTAAAACCTGGCTAATAGCCTACTTCCTATTTTGTTTGGAGAAAATTAGGTCTGATCATTAGTTTGAGTTCTAAGAACAAGATACCAGGATTGCCCAATGACCAATACTGAATGGCAGGGTCTTGCTGTGCAGTTCAGGCTGTCCTTTAACTCACCATGTAGGCTAGGATGGCTTTGAACTCGCAGAGATCTTCCTGCCTCAGCTTCCAGAGTGCTGGGATTACAGGTGTGCACCACCATACCTGGCATGTTTGCTATTATCTATCTTCTATTTTGTGCTTTAAATTATTTATACTTTGAGTTTCTCAGATAAGAGAAACCATGTGGCATTTAAGCTTGCATATCTGAGTTATTTCACTTAACATTTTTGTCTTAAGACGATCCATAACTAATGGTAATAGTTGTTTTTGAGGGGTCTATGAGAGGGGGTGTTGTCAGGTGGGGATAGTAGTGAAATTCATAGTTAGTAAAAATTTAAGAGCAAATGAAGCATTTTTACAAAATGATTTTACTCATTGAGAGGGATTAAGGGGACGTGCCGCTAAGGAAGGCAGTAGAACGTTCTTCTATATGACTGATTATTTATTAGAGTGATTTCTGAGTGGTCAGATCCCGGCAGGACAGAGTTCCCTTGGATTCCGTCCTCACAGGGCTTCGTGCAAAGGGAGCAGGAACTGGCTTGCTTCTGTTTGCCCACCAGAGGGCGATGTTCGCCCGCCCAACAGCGCTCAGGAGCCCGCAGGGAGGCGGAGGAGAAAGTTGTATCCCCAGGAGGAAACGTTTGCAACTAATGTGCTCCAGTCCGCCTGCAATCGCATTTGTTTCTTTCCAGCGACTTTTGGGACCAGAAAAATGAAGGGAAATCTGTTTTATATTTTTTAACAGAAAGAGTGGAAACTTTTTTGGGGCAGGCAGACTTGCATTTTATAAAGGGAATGCAGTTGGTGCAGTTTAGGCCTCTTGGAATAACTGCGTCCCGGTGCACGCCCAAGGCAAAGGCCGCGCTGTGCCCCTGAGGGGCTGGCCCTGTGGCCTTGACCACCTGTGACCTGCGCTTGTTTGCACTGCCCCTCCTGGGAAGGCCCTGATGTCCAGACGGGACCTTCCTCATACTGGCAAAGAGACAGTTCCTCAGAGGCGGCCCTGGGCGGGCCGTGCTCTTGGCCCCGTCCCCGCGAGTCTGGGCGGATCACTTTCTTCCTGGCACCTAAGTTCCTGTTGGGAACACAGGGGTTGGCACATGGCTACACCGAAGCTCCTGAGCTTCCACAGATCCTGGTGTGTCATCAGGGCCCGGCAGCCTCACTGGGCCAGAGCCTGCGCAGAGCTGCGGTGGATGGAGCCTCCGCCTGTCCCCTGGAGTTGGGCCAGCGGAACTGGGGGTGCGAGCCGCGGGTGGTAAGGGCATAATCAAGGGGTGGGGTATGTTCACAGCATCCATCCTGGGAGAAGGTGAACGGCACCTCACAGCCCAACAGGTAATGTCCAAACACCTTCTGGAGGAGTCTTCCTCTGCTTAGACCTTTCCAAATGGGAAGTCAAATCTGACACTGCAGTAACCCTTTGTTCTACCTGCTTTTGGTTCCCTCCCCCACCTTCGGGGTCCTTAAATTGGTAACTGGCAAAGCCTGAACAGGATTGCATTTCCGGTTCATTCTGAGCCAGGCAGGGTGGGCCGCGTGATTCGAGTGACTCACTAGAGAGGCCTGGGCCCAGGGAAGGGCGCAGCTTAGGGACCTGAAGTTGGCGTCTGCTTTTATTATGCCCTGAATGACGACTCTGAAGGTAAGATTTCTTCCCTGCCTTGCTTAAGGCAACTGTACAGAGCACAGTTCCGATTCACCGATTGAATCTGCTCTTCAAAATGAACTGCTCATAATACTATTATCAGATTTCTACTGTCTAGAAACTTAAAAAACACTGATAACAAGCCTTGGAAACAAGGTTGTTTCCTTCTGATGCGTGAAAAGGGAGCGTGAGGAAAAGATGACCCTGGGACGATTTTTATAATCAGGAAGTGTTGGCTGAGGTGCCCGTGCTGGTCAGGTGAGGCTTAGCTTGGTGAGGTTCAGGGAGAGGAGATGGTAGCCCAGGGCGGGGGATTAGCAAAGCCAGAGACTGGGCAGTCGGTCTTTCTTACCCAAAGTGTCCGATATACCTAGTCCCCCCTGCCCACTTCCTTCTGCAAAGCTCTGGGTCTTAGCTCCTATGAAAACGGATTTTTAAACTACTCATAACTTCACTGCTGCTTCTCTATGATACTTAACTAGCACCTGTCTTCGGTGGGGGAGGGGTAGTCCAGGCCAGGGAATCTGAAGAATTAGCACATTTAATCTTAGGAAAGAAAAACTACTACTTTGAAACATACAGAGGCACAAATCGAGCAGACAGCTACTAAAATGGCAGGTTATATTTCACAGAAAGCAGACAGACTTGGGCTGCTCCGGTTTAATATGACAATGCTGGTACAGTCAATGGATTTATGCGTAGAAGCAGTCGAAGAAATTGGATTGGCTTGTATCGATTTAAATTTCTGATGGACGCTCAATAGCAACTCTGCCTCTTTGTTCCTAGATTGCTCCCTTGATACAAACGTGAGATCTGGAGACTAGCGTGGGAGCCGTTCTCTTCTGTGTCATTTTGGTTGATTTAGGGTTAGGATGATCACATGACCCCTGAATGCCCTCCCTGCACTTACGGGAAGTATTTACAGTTAATTTTTCAGACATCAAAATTTATGTTAAGGTCCGGACCTGTGTTTCTAAGACACAAACAGTAATTTGAAGCAGAGTTTATAATTCACTGGTTAATTTTTCCCAGGTTCAGTGGATATATGTATCACCCCACAGCTGTAAAGAAGATCGCACGTGTAACTTATGCTGTTCCTTACATGTAGGTGCTTTAAAGTTTCCAAGACTCGGTTCGCATTTTAAACCTAGTTTTTATAGCTCTGAGTAACTCATTGACTTAAATTGCTGGAAGTTATATGGAACCCTATGAAAAAGTCGCTTGATTTTTCTCTCATTCGCCTTAAGAAATACACAGCAAACAGCATCATTTCCAAGTTCCCTGTCCACAACCCAAACTTCCGGCACTTCCGGCTGCTTGGACTATGGGATAATCCTCAGTCACCAATGGCCCAAACATGGCTTTAGTAGAGACCACTGGAGTCTCCATTTATAGCCCCTGCCTCCTCCAAAGTCCACCTCATCACAGCTTCTTCTCTTGGGTAAAACAACACATGGTTCCTAGGCCAGAGCAGTTCTCTTCTTGCCTAGTTACTGACTTAGTAAGTCAACCGATGCTTGCGTCACAATTTGTTTGCGTTAGTATTTCAATCTCCCTTAAAAGTAATTTCTCCTCGTATCTAATCCCCTTTCCTTCCAAGTTCTTAAGCACCTTGTTATTCCTCATTAGTCTATTTGTGTGTGAGGTCTATTTTGAGCTAAGAAGGCAGCCTGAAGGAGACCTTCCATGCCTTTCAGTGGTACAGTTGACGTGTGCAAAGGTAGGAGCAGCTCCGGGGGTTTCAGAAAAGGCAAGACGATCCTGCAGAGCCACTGCTGTGGGATGGAGAGAGATAGAGGGAGGGATTTCAGTGGTTTGTGCTCCTGGAGCTTTAACTGCACAGATCCCCTTGATGATCTGAGGAGACCACTGCTGCGGGGAGCAGTGGCTGCAGTGAGGGAACTGTCAGAGGGCTCTGGCTGCCCGAGCTAGACGCGGGGCTGAGGCTGCACAGCCTGTCCAGCGGGACGTTGCTGGGGCAATGGGCCGAGGGGAGCTGCTTTAGTACTTCAGGTAAAGCTCAAGACATTCAGCTGAACATGAGCAACAAGAGGCAAAGAATTCACACGGACTGTGTACTACGAACCGTCTGAGTTCAGTTTCCAGGCATTTTAAGCCAGGGTTAACTGAGCAAAACTGGAAGACTTGGAGAAAAGGGAACTGTATTTGCTTAGGGCCAGCAGATGCCACGGCTCAGGAGGGACAGTGGAAGGAAAAGTGGGACCTTAGTAGCGAGGTCCTCCAGGTAGGGTGCAGTTGGCAGAGCACTGCTGCCTCACTCGAGGATGGAGACTTTGCTGGTCACGTAGATTTAAGGGAGAAAAAAACCAAAACATCTTTGTTGAGGTCCCATGGAGACTGAAGGAAATTTGCAAGGCACAAAAAAAAAAAAAAAAAAAAAAAAGAGTTTTAAAGAACATGCCCTTTACTCATTGCTATCAAAAGTCTAGCATATTAAAATAGATAAATCAGCAGCCTCAGGGCCTTTGCTTGATCTTTTGAAGCAAAAATTTAAATTTTATGACAGTGTCCCTGAGGTCGGTTCTATGCCATGATTTCTTAGAAGATGAGAAATTATGCTTTGGGTTTTGCCACTCTGTAGCTTTGGCTGAGTGTGTCCTACAGACTTTGTTGAAGAATTGCTACCAGCTGTTGTGTGTGTGTGCACACGCGCGCACACACACATGGGTGTACCTGTGAGTGCATGTATCTGAGGCCCTGTGGGCTGAAGGGTTCACATCCTGGGCTACCCCTGAAAGAGCCGGTGGGGGCAGGAGAGAACAGCTTTGGCTGAGCTACAACCTGACGTCCTATGCGACATCCTGCTCGCCGGGAAGCACAGGCATTGGTGACCTGGCAGTGGTCACGTAATTCTGCTCAAAGTTATGAGAAGCAAATGAGCTGAGATGCACAGAAAGCTTATTCCAGTGGTGTGCACCCAGCAGCACTAAATCACGGTCACTCTTATTTTACCGTTACTTCAAGCATCTCGCTGTACTCCTCGCTCCTCACTAATCATCTGATAGAGTTCTCACCCCTTGTGTTTCAGCCCCCTCATCTGTAAAACATGAATAATTCTACAGCTTTGTTTTATTTATTTATTAGTTATTATAATTATTTTTATGTATTTGGTACAGGGTCTCACTATGCAGCGCGGACTCACAGTGATCCTCTTGTTTTCAGTCTCCCCAGTGCTGGGATTATAGGTATGTGCCACCATGCCCAGTCTTGGTGGCCCGGTCAGTGTGCCCTGGGGGCAGGGCCGGCTCGGCATGTGGTGCCAGGGATCGAGCCCTGTTCCCTGTGCTTGCCTAAGCAGGCTCTTAGTCTGCTGAGCTATCTGGCTGACTCTCAGTTTTATGTTTTAATCAAATGAAATGATGAGTGTTAAAAAATAGTCTGGATAAACTAAAACATTGGAAGCATGGAATGCACGTGTTCTTAGACCACATCTCTCGGAGTCTTCGGGGGCTGTTTTACAGCGCTCTATGCGACCCTGGTCTGGACACTGTCCCAGGAGCTTGCAAAGGCAGGTGCTCCTGCGGTGAGTGTGGCAGAGTGAGAGCAGGTGCCCCAACAGCGCGGGGCAGTGAGAGCTCCGGGCACTGGCATAAATCCACGCAGCGGGGGGAAGCCTAGTCTCACCATCCAAAGCATTACATCCAACGAAAGCATCAAAACCATGGCGATGGAGGTAAAACCACAGCTGCGTTGGAAGCAGAGGAGTCAGAGTTAGAGGACAGACGCACACTGCAGGGCACGGTGCTGGCCGGGGCAGGGTTGCTCTGCAGTTCATGCAAAACAGGCGCTTTCTACCCACAGCAAGCAGCAAGACGGAGCCTCTGACCCGCGGGCCAGAGGTTTCTTACCTTTTTGACATCCCTGACCAAGTGGTACAATGTGTTTGAGGGCCCGTGTCTCTGAAAACAATAAAGAAGAATCAAACAGTTTTGCTAGTCAGGGGCTCTTGCCGCCAAGGCACGGAGGGTCTAGCTGTGGAGGGCAGCTCACTGTGGTGCGCCTTGTGCTAGCTGCTCAGGGGTCAGTCTTTCTCAGCAAATGCGCTGGCAGATTCCAGGTTGATTTTCATCACGAAACTATGTGTGAGGTGATGGTTCTAGCTTCGTAAGGGATCCAGGCAGCTCTGTTGGCCCCTGGGCTCAAACAGCATTGGAGGAGGTCGTTTTTGCCACAGGGAGAAAGAGGGGCCAATTTACCCACTGGAAAAACACTTCAGCACCTTGTCATTGCAACCTCTTTATTTTCCATAATCAATGAGAAATTGTCTCAGGAGAAGGTCTTGGCTAACCTTTTCTGTGAAAGGGCTGACAGAAAATACTTTAGGCTAAATGGGCTTTAGCATTCTGGCCATGAGTTTAAATGCCACTGTACTGTGAAAGGAGCCACGGATTTGTTTTGATTTTTTAGTTTTTGTTTCTCTTCTTTCCAATACTGGGGCTGAAAGCCAGGCTTGTGTTTGCTCGGTTGTTCTCTAGCACTGAGCTACATTGCCTTTCCTGCCAGAGATTTTATGTAAACAAGAAAGCTTGGCTATGTTTCAGTAAAACTTTATTCAGGGACACCAGAAATTAAATCTCATATAATTTTAACTATGTTATAGGGCGTCCTTCTTTTGATTATTTCACTAATTAGGAAACAGCAAAAGAGCTTTTCTGAGCTTGAAGAAAGTACAGAGACAGGCTGTCAGCTGGACTTTGGGTGTTTGTTTGCTGTTTTTTTCTTTTTTAAAATTAAAAAAAATTATGTTTTGGTAGAGGGTCTCACTATGCAGGTCGGACTCAGGGTGATTCTTCTGTCTCAGCCGCCCCAGCCCTGGGATTACAGGTGTGCCCCACCACACTTGGCTTGGGTGGCCGGCTCTGCAGGCCCAGGGCAGGGCTGGCACAGCAAGTGGTACCAGGGATCAAACCCAGGTCCCTGCACTTGCCAGGACAGGTGCTTAGACAGCCAAGCTATCTCCCCAGCCCTAGTTTATTTTCTTTAAACCTAGTTTAATGAAAAAGCTATAAGTCATTTGGGAAAAAGAGAACCTTGGGGGAAAAGATGTGTGTAGAATCAAGGAAAGAATCCAATGAAATGAATGCTATTCTGTTTTATTTCTGGAGTAAGAATGCTAGATAAAATATAAGTTGCCCCATTAAAATTTGAATTTGTGCTGAGCAATGTGTGATTTGTAACATAAATATGTCCCATGCAGTGCTGGCTTGTGTAGTTGACCCTCTGTATCCATGAGGTCTGCACACACGAGTTCTACCAACTGCAGATTGAAAACACTGAGAAGAGAATTGCATCTGTACTGAATGGGCTCAGGTATGTATCTTGTCGCCATCTCCTCAATGAAGTAGTGTGACTCCTCTTTCCCTAGTATCTCCATTGTGTGGGGGAATATGTGTAATCTAGAGGTGACTGCTGCGCTCGGGTGGCTGGGCCTAGGTCACACTGTGGTATCACGTTACATGGGGGACCTGAGTGTCCATGGGCTTTGGTACTTCGGGGGCATCTGGGATGGTTCCCGTGGAGTAGCAGAGGGACAACTGTACCTAGATTAAAAAATCTGGCATCATTTATCTGACTTGAATTTAACTGTGTGTCACATGTGTTTATTTGCTAAATCTGGCTACCTTCTAGAGGATTCAAAATAGTAATTGTGCATCTTTATGCAGTGTTGTAATCTGTTTAAACATGGGGAAGTCCTTGTGTGTCACCTCAGCTACCTGGCTGTTGGGGCAGACTCACTAGCAGAACACCTGCTTCCAGGGGAACACTGCACCCCATGGCCATCAAAGCTGCAGATTGGGGTCCAAGCTTGGAGCTCCAAACCCACCTCTGCTGCTGCCTGCTCAGAACATGCACAAGCTGCTGAGCTGAATGGGGACTCAGCTTGTCATCCCTGCAACAGGGTCATAGCACTTAGTGCAGTAGGGCTGTTTGAGGATTACACGATGCTATGTTTACAAGGCCATTAAGGTAGTGCTTCCTGGACTAGAGAGATAGCTCAGTAGAATAAGCGCTTCCCTGGCAAGCACAAGGGCCTGAGTTCAATTCCCCGTTCCACAAAAGAAAAGAAAAGAAAGAAAAACAGATAGTACTTACTCAGTAAATGCTAGGTATTTTTTTTTTTTAAATCACCACTCCAAAAAGCTTTCTCAACACCACAAGGTGACACCACAAGTTGTGCAGAGTGATAAAATCTACCAATCTCTCTCTCTCTCTCTCTCTCTCTCTCTCTCTCTCTCTCTCTCTCTCTCTTTCTGTTTTGTTTTTGAGATAAGAGTCTCACTGTGTAGTACAGGTTGACTTTGAATTCATTTGCATAGCCCTGGCCAGCCTCAAACTCACTGCAATCCTCCTAAGTGCTGGGATTACAGGCGTGTGCCACCACATCCAGCTCCTGCCGGCATTTCTGAATCTAGAACGTTTTTATTTCTTCCTTTTCTTGCCAATCTTTGCGATGAGTCTCTGCTTCCTTAGTTCTCTGATAGGTAAGCTGTACTACTTTTATTCATTTCTGACTGAAATTGCCATTACTGGAAGGCTTAGTGTGTTGAACAAAGAAACAGCTGCAGAAAGTGGGTGTGGTGGTGCATACCTGTCATCTCAGGTCCCCAGGGACTGAGGCAGGAGGACTACAAGTTCAAAGCCAGCCCAGGAAATTTAGTGAAACAATGTCTGAAAATAGCCAACAGAAAAAGGCTGGGAGTGTCATTCAGCGAAGGATCAAACATGAAAGACCCCTGGGTTGGATCCCTAAGCCCCGTGAGCCCCAAGAAATTTTCAGAGAATATGGAAACTCTCTACCCTACTGATCTATTTACTTCTTATGGCAAGAATGAGGCAGGCTAGAGCTTGGTGTGTGGTGTGAGACGGGGCCAGCTGGGACACCAAGCTCTGGCCTGCCCTGCTCTACTCTGGGTGGTGGGACAGAGACGCTGTGCCCAGTGAGTGCAGAATAATTTCTGAGACTGGAGTTCAGGCTGAGCGTTGGGTTCTTTCTTTGCTAGGAGCTTCGTGACCTTATATAAGGACTGACCCCTTCTCGGTCCCTGCTCTAGTTTGCTGGTTTTCATCCACCAAATCCACGGAGGGCTTGGAGGTGGCAGGGCCTGAGGGCTCCAGCCTTGTAAGTGACACTGCACCCTGGGAAGAAAAGTCCTCAGCTGGGTGGGATGGTGCGGCATGCCTGCGATCTTGGCACTGTGTGTGTGTGGGGGGGGGGTGGGCGCTGAGGCAGAAGAGTCACAAGTTCAAGCCCAGCATGGGAAATTTAGTGATTTTTACTGTTATTAAAAAAAAAAAATAAAAAAGCATGGGGATATAGTTCAGTGCAGAGGCCCTGGATTCAAGTCTCAGTACTGGAAAAAAAAAAATGTCAGGAGAGAGACAGAGACAGAGGCACCTTCCATAGACTGGCCTCTTTGTGCCAGGGGACGCCCTGCTCATCCCCAGCCAGGGTGCAGTGGCAAGGTGCCGCCCTACACCTGCACAGCCCGCTCACCACATCTGAGCCTGCCCGTGCGCCGCTCTTGGGCTTCGGGGCTCCAGAACCCGAGCCCCGGATGTCTGCTCTTTACCCTTGAGCTGCCCCCACCCCCAGGTATTCTGTGATCATAGCACAAATAAACTAACGGTTTCAGTTTTTCTCATTTGTAAAGGGGTGGACAACTGTCAATTCCTTAAATTTCACTGGCCCTGCAGAGTGGTCCGCTCTAAACAAAACAAACTGTTCTTTTGGGTAACTCTGGACAAGAGGCTCATGACATTTTACTCCACTATTGCGGCAAAAGAGCAGAAGTCGGAGCTCCAAGGGGAACCAAATGGCACGGGACGCTGGCCTGGCCTCCGCTGACGCTGGGCACTCGATACAGCCTCCCTGCCCTCCGAGGTGGCCTCGAATGCCCTCTCGGCTCATAGAATAAACCAATTTCCAATTTCCGGAGCTTGTGTGGCTTTGTGTGCAAACCCGGGGGCGGGGCCACCCAGAGGCCACGGAACCTGGGAGGTCGGCGCTGACCACTGAACAGCTAGCACGAGAGGCACTTTGGTGAGCTGGTGACCCGTGTGTGCACAGTGTACGGGAGCACGTGGGAGGATGGATCCATGCATTCTCAGGGGAGGCAGGAAGAGAACCACAGGCATGTGGGGTCTGGGAGAAGGTAACAAAACAACAGCAACAAGAACAACGAACAGAGGACGCTCGAGGCGCCGCAGCTTGGCCCTACCGTGTTGTACAGCTCCTCTAGCCTGGAGATGGTGAGAAAACGGTGCATGCTTACTCCATTCTCTATGAGCAATTTCACAAAGTCCACTCTGTCCAACACGAGGGCATCCAGCATGGCTTGCTCCAGAGACCCCACCTGCGAATCGAGTTGCTGAGTTAGGCTGCCCGGGCTTCTCGGGGTGCACGTCTTGGCGTGCATGCGAACAACTTAAGGATGGATGCTGGCTGTCTGGTAAGCCTTCTGCTCGCGGCAGAACATCCCGCCCAGACCGCCCAGAGCTCTGCCTGGGGAATGGCCACCTCCCACCGGTGTTTGGGGATCTGTCTTTGGAAATGGAAGTAAAGGATTTCTAAGACCAAAACCTATTCTCTTCCCTAATTGCTTTCTTTCTATGGATCCTGAGATGGTTGCCAGGGGCTCCAAGGGTCATTTCCTTGCCGTTCCTGGCCATTTAATGCCAGTCCGATGTCCAGGTGGGCACCAAAGGGCCAGCATCAGTGATGGCGAATCTTACAGAGACCCCCCAAGCTGTAGCCCCAAGCCCACTAATATTATCACAAAGTACCAACAAAACCTGAATATTGAGGTTTTTAGTTTAGAAAAAAATAATTCACACACCAACGTCTTCTGTGTTAAATGAAAAACACATACCATGGGTCTGCCACAACTGACCTAGATAGATGTTGGATCTCTTGTCCAGAAATAGGCAAGAAGGGGGCCAACTGGTTCCACTTACTAACTGGAAAGATCAAGAAGCTAAGTTTTGGATTCGATACTGGCTAGAGTTTTTATTTAATCTCTTTAGAAAATTTTCCCTGTGCGCAGATTCCTTGAGAAATGTTTCTAAACTAGCAGTCCTCTATGGAAATCTGAAGACGGCTCAGCCTCAGGCAAACGCCCCCTAGGAAAGGAAGGAGGAAGAACCGTCCGCCTGAGAGGCGATCCCGGGCACAGAAATCCGGTTCCCGGTCCGAGGGGGCCCGTGCATGCCTGCCCCTACCACCCAGTGACCAGTTTCCCAGTGTTTTGTTTTTGGTAGCGTCACCCGAGAGAAACAAATAAAAAACAGGTATGCAAAAATCTGAATCCATCGTGCTGTGCTGTGGGAAGAGGGATGGCATGGGCTCAGCCCCAGGATCAGACGAACCTGAAAGGAGCTGCTGACTGCACCGTGGGGTGCGGCCCAGCCACACCCCTGCAAGGGCTACCGTTTGGAAGTAGCAGCCTCTTCCTTCTGCCCGCCTCAGAGACCATCAGAAACTTTCAAATAATTTATTTATTTTAATGTATACAAGTTTCTATCGTATATATATCTTTAGAGATACTTTGCAGCTGAACGTTTCTATAAAGGCCACCAGTAGAGATGCAAATACATAGTTATTTGGAGTAGTGATTAATTGTAATGTCCACCAGATGGCGGCATTCCACCACGTATGAGAACCGGGTCCTAAACCACAAACTGCGCCTCGCCCGAAGATTTTTCATCCCAAACAAAAGGTAGTGAGTACTTTCCCGAGCCACTTGCGAGTGGGCTTTTCAGGGGGTGGTGACGTATACTCTACCGGCCACTGTTGCCCATAGATAAAGATCTGGCTGCGGGCGATGTCCACTCTGTTCCAGGCTAGAGCTAAGCTCAGCTGGTCCGGGGCGGAGGCGTTGGCTCCTGCGCACAGAGGGGTAGGAGAGAAAAGCCGAGAGGAAACAGGGATCAGCGACTTGCGAGAGGACTCGGGCATCACTGCCATCGGCTCCAACCCAGACAGCACACGAGGCCCAGCGGCGGCAGGGTTACCCATCCCAGCCCCACCCCTCCGTCGGTGCCCCGAGCTGTCGTGCACACGTGGATTATTTCCTAGGTTCAGCCTAGGAGGTGCCTGGAGCACCTTCCCTCGCTCGAGCTCCCTCTGCAGTCAAAGGCGTCCCCAGCCGGATGTGGAAACCAAGGGCTGCAGCCCCAGCACCCTGGGAGGCTGAGGCAGTATGATCGTAAGCCTGGGGGAGCTAGGTGGTTCAGCAAGATCTTGTCTCAAAACAAAACCAAAAAAGAAACAAACGAAAGACAAAAGCTGCTGAACATAGCCACTCTACAGCTGGGCTAGGGAGCGCGCGGTCCACCAGGCACTCTCCCTAGAAGCCCAAACCTGGGCCCCATTCCTTGGCTTGGGCTTTAGCGGGGACCTGCTGGGGAGTGTGTGCGTCCCTGCTAGAGAAGCGCGGCTCCGCCACCCTCCGCTTCGGCTGGCTGGCTGGCTGGTGACATTGGCCTGTGTTCTGCGTGGGCACCGGCCTGATGGCCTCTGTGCTGAGAAAGCTGAGGAGGCCGCTCAAGGCCGCATGGTGCTCAGGTCTGCGCTGACTCGTGGGTGGAAGCCGCGGGGCTCTTTTCCAGGTTCTCCTTATTCAGGGGACTCTGTCTAGAGCTGTGTGGCTCCGTGGGGCTATTTAAATTTATTAAAGTGAAATAAAACTAAAACTTTGATTCTTTCACCGGATTAACTGAATTTCAGTGCTGAGTAGCCAGATGCCTGGTGAATGTGAAAGCAGACTGGATTGCCCGCCCACCTGCCCGCCCGCCTCCCTCCCTCCCTCCCTCCTCTTTCCTCCTTCACTGGTCCTCTCTCTCCATTTTTCCCTCTCTCCCTTCCTTTTTGAGGCACAGGGGATTGAACCCAGGGCCTTGTGTATTGAGCTACCTCCTTATCTCTTTTTAAAATTTGGAGATAGGGTCTTGCTAAGCTGTCCAGGCTGGGCTGGAACTTGAAGCTCTCCTGCTGCGGCTTCTCAGGGTGCTAGAATTTTTATTTTCTTCTCAGCCCTGGCTTTCCTGTGTGCACCACCAACCTAACTGGCAGAGGATTCCCTGGGACAGAGCTGGTCTGGGTGAGCCCCAAAGTTCTCAGGGCCTGGGGTTAAAGTCCCTGCCTAGGTCAAAATTTGGTTCCAGTGTTCACATGTGGACGGGTTTATGGGCCACGTAGCTGGAGTGAAGTGATTGTGTTGGAAATGATGGATATTAATTCACTTTAAATGGGGAATTTTACATTAAGAAATTATTTATCTTTTCAGATAATAACAGAGACTGCAAGGTCATGCCTGGGTAACTGGAATAAACAATAAATTGGAATGTGTCAGAATGTACCATTCAAGGGCAAACTCAGACTGCATTTGGAAAGGTAGCACTTGGTGCTTTTCTTTGTTTTTTTTTTTCCTCCTTTTTTAAAAGTATTTTTATACTCTAAGGACACATAGCATTGTTCATACTGATGGGGGTGTAGTGTGAGACACGCACGCACACACGCGATGTGTGGTGATAGGGTCTCCGTGATGGGTGTGCCTCTCAGCTCAAGCGGCTCTTGTGTCAAGAACATTCAAAATCTCTACACTGTTTTTCAACAATGGCTATTATATTTTGTACCATTGTCTTCACTGTAGTTGTTCAGATTACCAGATATAAGCATGTAAAATTGATCAAAAAGTTTAAGTATTAACTGTTCCTTTTATTAAGCCACTAGAAATTAGTAGTACAAGTATCTTAGCTATTTTCTTTTTCTTTCTTTCTTTCTTCATCACAGCTGTTCTTTCCTTTTGAGCAGTTTCTTTCCCTTTCACAATATCTATTGTACCTTTGGATGTTATTTATTCTTTCAGGTTCTTACATTAGGGAGATGTGTTTACACACATGGGCCTGATTTATTTCACTTATGAGTATGGTTTCTAACATTTCCCTATAAAAGCCTCAAGTTTATCTTTCTTTTTAGCAGCAATACTCCTTTTTTTTTTTTTTTTTTTGTGGAACCAAGGATTGAACTCAGACCCTTGCTCTTGCCGGGGAAGCGCTTATTCCACTGAGCCATCTCCCAGGCCCCAGTAATACTCCATTGCATAAAAAGAGTTGGCTGGTCCAAAGGTAGTGAGTTCTCTCAATTGATTGTTACAGATTGAACTTGTTCTACTCCTTCCCCCTTCTCACTACTCCACTTGACTAGTCAAAAAAAAAAAAAAAGTTCATCTTTTTTATCCTTTCCTCAGTTGATGTGCATTTGGGTTGTTTCCAAGATGTAGCTGTGATGAATTACGCAAACCTGCAGTTAATTATTCTCCACCACAGTCATGCTGCTGTCCGGTCCAGGTGCTCTCCGGTGTCCATTAACCTTCCTTTCCCACTTCCTTTCCTGCCTGTGGGGCCGCTCCTCCAGGCTCTGCTTCTGTGAGGTCAGCTTTACCTTCTACACGAGTGAGAACGTGCGGTTCTTTAATAAAAATCCATTCATCTGCTGGTGGAACTCTGGGCTGATCCCACGTCTTGATGAGCAGGAATAGCAGCGCAGTCCACACGGGCCTGGAGAAGTTCCTTTGATCTACACATTGTGTTTTCTTTTGATGTATGACCAGGGGAGGGGTTGTTGGGCCGTACAGCGGTTCTGTTTCTAGCTTTCTGTGGAAGCTCTGTACTGGGTCCTGGACGGCTGGACTAACTGGCATTCCCATGGCAGGGCAGGTGCCTTCCCCCCTCCTGTAGCTGGTCCACTGGGATTTGCTGACTCACCGCATGGTTTATCTACCCTCTCTGCCTTCTGTGTGTCACAGCTTTGCATGCTGCCCAAGTCAATAAGAGCAGCGGGACTCTGAACACGAGCACATAGCAGAAAGCAGGGACTGAGGTCAAGGGGTGCTCCAGGCCAGAAGGGGACTAGGTAAATGTCAAACAATGACGCTTACTCACAGTGACAGCTACCAAGACCGATGAGCTTTGCCTTTTCAAAAATTGAAAACATATCATTCAAGCCTGGTCCCAGGTGGCAGTTTGGATTAGTGCAAGGTGAATGATCATCCCGGGCTGCCTGCTTCCTGTGAGATGTCTCAATCCTGAGTAAGCTGGATGGATGGTCATCCTGTCCTCAATGTGGCCACAGGCTGGAACTTCCTAAAGAGCTTCCGTATACACATGCCCGGGACACCTCTCCCTCAGAGTCTAGGGCGATGAGTCCTGGGCACTGAGGTGTTCAAAGCTCCCCAGATGTCCCAGCAGATGACCAGGCTGAGATCCTAAAGCATAGATGATGTGCGTTCATTCATTTGCTCACTCCTCTGTTGTTGCATTTGTTAATTTGCGCATTTAAAGATATTGATTTCACATGTTCTCCTAAGACAGGCACTCTGCCAGTTCTGAGGATGACGTGGATAAGTCAGAGTGCTTTGTCCATGGAGTGCTTGTGGTCTAGAGGAGAGAGCTCTGCAGCGTTGTGTGCTCCCCGAGCACTATTCATCTGCTGTGTAGCAGACGTTTATTGAGTACCTTCTGTTCCAGAGCTGTCTGGCTGGGCACTGGCCATCGAGTGCTAGATGGGACAGCAATGGTCTCCCTCTTCATGGATCCTACCTTTCACTCTAGCTGGTCAGAACTCAGACAGTGAATACACTAGCAAGCAGTGTACATCCAGGTTGTACAAAGGCTAGGAAGGGGTGGCGCTATCCCAGGGCATGTGCAGTGGTGCCTACAGGAGCAAACCAGCGTGGCCGTGCCAGTCTGGCTCTACTGCCTTGCTTGGTGCCATGGTGGATGTTGTGCCAGTTGTCTGCAGCAAACCTTGAGCCAAGCTGCTCCTTGAGGAGAGGGCTGGAGATGGGGGTTCCTGGACAGCCTCAGGGCACAAGTGGCTGAGTCCTAGGGGCAGCTCACTCACTGCACGGTGTAAACAGGGGTGAGAGATGCCCTGAGGATTAAGGGGGATACAGGCTCCATCTGGATTCTGATTTGAGTTCAGAACTCCTGTTTGTGTAAGCCCTGTCTTCCAGGCAGGTGCCTGATCCCCTGGGGGGTGGGGGTCCTAGTACCTTCGGGGAGCATCTTTCTGAGCTCTAATGCACGTGCGGTGATGATAGTGGCCACAGTAGTGGAGGAGCTGCTCTGGGAGGATGAGCGGACAGGAGGCCTGCCTGAGAGGAGCAGCTGAGTGGCGACTTAGAGGATTAGAAAAAGACAGCATGTGAAGAAGTGTGGGGCTGGGGAGATGGCTCAGTAGAATAAGTGCTTGCCTGGCAAGTGCGAGGGCCTGAGTTCAATCCCTGGTTCCACAAAAAAAAGAAAAAAAGAAGAAATCTGTCTGCATGTGTGTGCCTGTGTGTGCGTGTGTGAGTGTGTGTGTGTGTGTGTGTGTGTGTGTGTGTGCATTGAGGGGGAGTTCCAGGGAGAGGAAACAGTAAGTGCAAAAGTACTAATTGAGAATGAAGGCAGGTGGGTATTAGATGTAACAATTATGTCTCTCCTTTGTAGGAGGCCAGGGAAGATCTAAACGCATACGCCACGATCACCCAAGAGTAAGGGGTTCACTCTCTGGACAAATGCTAGGAAGAAAAACAGCAGAGCAAAGGGGACAACAACAGATGGGGAAGTGGCCCAATGAAGGGTATTTGGAAAATTCAGTGGAGCTGCATGCCGGGGTCTGGAATCAGACAGATGACACTGGCACTAGAGGACGCGTAAGTGATGTGGAACAGTTTTCCCTTCATCCAGAAGGCCGGCGATACCACTGAGCCACTGTCTTAGAAGTGGTGCAGCCAGGCTTGTGTCTCAGAAGTCACTTTGGCAGCACACTTTGCAGAAGGGATGGAGGAGAAGAGTAGCCACGAGGGCTTCGCAGCCTTCCAGGAAAGGGACAAGGG